TCAAGCTGTTTAAAAATGTTGCTTCACTATCAATGTTGTTCCATAATCCACTATTGCTCTCACTATCTTTTGAGACTAGATCATTTTCTTCATTGTGAGTCATTGTCTTGGTCCTGAACATCGTGTCTTGCACAATTCTCATCTCCTATTTCTCCTTCTGTTAGTTCTGGTTGCGATATTATAACAACCTGATCGTTATACTTCTGATAACTTGGTTTGTACCTCATTTCCAAAGACTGTATGCTTTTCCAAAGACAATATATTCATTACTTCTTGGTGTGAATTTACTTTTTCTAGGTTTATTGTTTATAGCAAAAGCTTTGCTTCCTATAACATGAATTTGGGATATAGGTTTTCTTGAGGTAAAAATTTCTTTTGGGGTCTTGTCCATGTTCCTAAAAGGACACCTATTTTTGATGTATGCGGCAGTAATTATCATCTTGTCCCATAATGACTCTGGTAATTCTGAATTTATCAACATGCACTTTGCCATCTTGACAAGAGTTCTATTAGCATGTCTAACTACACCATTCTGTTGAGGTGCGTATTCAACAGCTGATGTTTTATTCTCTTATCTTGAAGAAATTTTGTGAACTCCTTGTTTAGATATTCTTGACTATTGTCACTTCTAATCATTTTTATTTTTTGTCCAGTTTGCTTCTCTGAGGTTAATTTATATCTTTTAAATGCATCAAATACTTCACTTCTGTTTTTCAGTATGTAGACAGAGATTCTTCTGAATTTATCATCTATAAACGTGACAAAATAACTTTCTCCACCAAGAAATTTGATCTTCATTGGACCAGAGATGTCTGTATGAACTAGTTATAATACATGATTTGAAGAAGAAGAGTTTTTTGGAAATAGTAACCTTGTCTGTTTTCTTTTAATACATGTTTTACAAGCCTGAGATTTTTCAGAAGAATTATCAAATTGCAAGCCATGCCACCATTTCTTTTGTAATTTTTTCAGATCACTGTAAATAAGATGTCCAAGCCTGTTGTTCCGTATCTGAATATCTTTCATTTTAGGATTAATTTCTTCTGAGTGACTCTTCTGGGCTACAGTAGTTAGAGTAGAACTGTTGTATATTGTCATAAAACATAAAGCCTTTTTAATGCCTTGTGCCAAAATCTCTTTAGTTTTGGTATTTTCTAAGCTTGCATATTTAACCAGGAATGTGACAGTATAAGGTCTCTGGGTATACTTACTGATTGAAATTAAATTTCCTTGAAAACCAGGTACAAATAGTACATTTTCCAAAAGTAGTGTATCTTGTTTCAAATTAATTAAGGTTTTCAAGAGAATTGAGCTCCTTTCAGCAGCTTGAGTTGTTTTATTATTGGCCAGTTGCACCTTTTGTGAATTAATTTGTGTTATTTCTATGAATTGCTTTTCATCTCTACATGTGTTCTGTTACTCCACTATCAAAACACCATTCCTTCTTTCGACATCCTGAAACCCAATGTATTGATACTAAGCCAAATGATTACCATAATTAACTGGGGTAATATTATGCTATAATTAATAATTAGAAACTAAGTAATTTGGTACTAGAGATAGATGTTAGGTGCCATCTCTAACCTAAATTAATAATTATAATAATTTATTAAATAATTTAGAACATTTGGGAAGAAAAGAACTATCCTGGAGCAGGACTTAAACCTGCAACCAGGAGCAGATCTACATAGGGACTAATAGGGCTTAAGCCCTGGACTCCCAAGTGTCAAGGGTCCACAAAAATTGAATTATTATAAATTTTTAATACTTTTTCATTAACAATGAGCACTTATCATATAGTAAAAAATAGTTAATATTAATAATATACTAATAATGATAATTTATACTATTATTAGTATTTACAAAAATTGGGACCCCATTGGACTTCAATAAGTCCTAGGCTCCGAAAACCCTAGATCTTCTCCTGCCCGCATTCTCCGCTTACCATGCAGTATGCTTGTCAGTTATGCCAACCTAGCAAGTCTTTGTTTCCAGACATATTTAAATTTAGATATAACTATTCATGGTTGGTAGAGGTTGTGGGTTTAAGTCTGCTCCAAGCTAGTTCTTTTCTTCCAGAATGTTCTAAATTATTTAATAAATTATTAAATTATTATAATTATTAATTTAGATAAGAGATGTCACCTAATGTCTACTTCTAGTATCAAATTACTTAGCTTCTAATTATTAATTATAGCGTAATATTAGCCCAATTAATTATGGTGATCATTTGGTTTAGTATTCCTCCTTTCTTAGGGTTTGAGATAAAGATCCACAAGATTCAAATGTAGCTATTGTTGCTATTTTGTTAAGTTCTTTTAAAGATGTGTCGTGTTTTCTTTTCTGTTTGTTCCATCAACAATCAGAGGATTTGTGCTCTTGTTTGCCACAAATATAACATTTGAAAAAGAATTGCTTTTTTTTTTCTTAGGGTTAAGTTGATCTTTACCTTTATTTTCATTTGAGTGTCTCTGTTTGTTTAGTTATGGCAATGCAACACTTGGGCAATCTGTTTAGGGGGATGCCTTCCAGCAGGTCTTTTTAAGGGAAACTGGCTCCTATTTAAGCATTAGAGACATGGAGAAAACCCAGAAAACTCCACATGGCCAGCCCATCCGAGTGAGATGCAAACCCATGACTGAACTCCCAGTGTTCAGGGAACAATGACCGCTTGGCCACTGGTGGGCCCATTTGAGTGTCTCACAAAGGCTGTCTGCTTACTTGTTATATCATCTTCCCTCTCACATTTTTTATTTTCTTCTAGAAGTTTCACTCTTAATATATTGGGTTCAGGAAGTTGATCACTTCTTTCAATTGCTACTCTAAAATTCTCATACTCATCAGAAAATCTGCAAAGGATCAGAATGGAAAGAAAGTTATCAGGAACACATGCATCAATTTCTGCCATTTATCAAGTGTTCCAAAGATGTCTAAATGTTCCTTTGTGCTTTGATTTGGCTTCATTTTCATTTGAAGTACAGTAATACCTCAACTTACGCGAACCCAGAGTTACGCGATTTTCAAATCTCGTCAATTCATCTTTTGTTTGAGCGCCATGCAACTCTTGATTACTCACTCCCCCCCACACTATTGTTCAGCTTACATGTTCGGACGTGTCGCGCGGAATCGACACATAGCTACAATTTATTTTGTGTTATTTATTTCTGTGTTTGTTATATCTAAGGAAACTCGAGAGACTCTATGTGGTGTTTTCTTGTAACTGGAAACGAATCAAAAGACGAGATAAGATTAACGAGAACATTTATTAGCTTACATACATCTGACTTGGATTTTACACAAATTGCAAAATTATACCCCGACTTACGCGAATTCGACTTACATGGTTATTGCTTGGTCCCACCTATCGCATAAGTTCGGGGTATTACTGTAATTGTTTTGTAAGAGTTACTTTTGTAATTGGTCCTCTACAGCTGATGTATTTCTTTTAGCTTGTCCCATGCTTCTTTTGATGATTACATCTTTTAATGTGAATTATTTCTGAAGAATTTATGCTTAAAGTAATTGTTGCTTAAGCCTTTTGCTCCATTTTTCATCAGATTCATCCTTTGGTTCTTCAACATATTTCCAAAGGTCATTTTGTATTAAAAACACTTTATTTGCATTTTCCAGCAATCATAATTGTCTCTATCCAACTTTTCTATTTGAAAAAATTGTGTATTCATCTTGAAAGTTGATCAGAGCTATCAGGTTATGACTTAATTTAAAGACTATTCTAGGAAAAAAGGCTTACCTTCACTTTGTTAGAGTATTAATTCAACAGTGTTTTAGAAGTGTGGCCTGGGTCCATAACCTGTTAAAATGAATTATTCATGTTTCCAGTTTTCGTAATATGCTTTATTATGAACTAGCAGGTAGGCCCGGCATTGTTTGGGCAAAAGTAATGATAACTAAGATTAAGATTATTATGTTACAGTCACAGAATGCAAGAATTGGGTCCCCTTGTTTCCAGACTAATTAGAGAATTTTTAGATGGGTCTAAAAATATGTTCGATTTCACAGAATGCAAGAATTGGGTCCCCTTGTTTCCAGACTAATTAGAGAATTTTTAGATGGTTCTAAAAATATGTTTGATTTCCCACAAAAACGAAAAAAACTGCATCCGCGTCTTGCACGTTGCTTTCTCTTAACAATTCCATTGTTACATAACTCTTCCATTGTTACTTAACACTTCCATTATTGATGGAAGTGTTAAGCCTTAATCCTTTCCCTCTCCCCTGGGGGGAATTTCGAAAAATCCCTTCTTAGTGTGCGTTTTCGTGACGTACCCTAACTGTGTACCAAATTTCAACTTTCAACTCGTAATCATTTGGGCTCTGCACTTATTATTATTAGATAAAGATAAAACCAATAAAGTGCATTATTTAAATAACACAACAGAAACTTTGATCCTACAGAATGCTGTTCTTGGCGGGAAGAGACGAGATCAAGTTAGATCACGAGATCACACATTCAACTTGGTGTGTGCCTCCTGTCTGTAATTATGTACTGACATTGTATGAATTTCTAAGTTTCAACAGAAATCCACAAATCTTGGCACCATTAACTTATAACAAGAAAAGTCCTACCACTTTGCTTGTTAAAGCTAACCAACTATTCTATTTACCAAAAAAAAAAAAAAAAAACGTTTTTAGCTTTTTTATTTACTTTAACAAGCAGCATGGAAGGATTTTTTAAAATCAAAATAGTCTTAAGTTAAAGAAATAATTAAATAGTGAAATATTTTTTTGTTTATTTTTGTTATTTGTTTTATGTATGTGAACATACATGCTTTGTAAATATTTTATTTTTAGACAATTTATATTAGATTTTACTTTTCAGGTACCTATTGAATGGGAAGTAGAGGATGTTACTCCTGTAAAAGGACCAGACGGAAAATTTAGTATTCCTCAAAAAGCAATTGATTCTGTTTTAAAAAATAAGATAGGTTTAAAAGGTCCATTAGAAACACCCATAGGAAAAGGACATCGTTCATTAAATTTAACTATTCGACAGTAAGCAATTAAAAATTTAATATTGTTTGTATAAAAATATTAAAATAATATAATTGTTTTGGAAATTTTTAGAACCTTAAAAATATAACACAGGTCAACAGTGGTTTTGGTGCCCAGGTATTTTGAGCTGATTTCATATGAATTTGATGTCCTGAATTCAAATATGGCATTAGTTTTTGCCTAGGAGCTCTAATTTTTAAGATATAGCATTTTAGCGAAATATATGTTTCAATATCTTAAGTTAAATCCATGGATCAAGTAAAAAAACTAAACACGGAATTTTTATTATTATATTATGCAAATATTATTCTATACAAAGATAGAGGAAAAAGTCATCAATAAAACTAAACAGTTACACATTGAGGAAGCTTCTTTTCCGTGACTTTCGTGAATGTATTTTGGAGCAATCCCTTTTTAAACTCCAGCAGTAATCTGCCATCATATGCGTATCCCATCTTCCTTGGTAGCGGTCCTCCATAGTTTTAATATCCTGGTGAAATCTTTCACCTTGTTCTTCACTGGTGTCTCCTAAATTTTCAGGAAAACGGTCTAAGTGACTGTGTAAATAGTGCACCTTAATACTCATATTACACCCAAGGAATTTGAAACTGTTAAGCATCTCGTTTACCAGTTCAACATAATTTTCAGCTTTGCGTTTGCCTAGAAAATTTCTGACAACTGCAACAAATGAAGTCCAGGCTTTTTGCTCAGCTTCATTCATCGAATTGACAAAGGCAAGATCGTTAATGAGTTGTCTTATTTGTGGGCCGTCAAATATTCCTGCTTTAATTTTTTCTATACTTAACTGAGGCATAAGAATTTTAGAAAGGCTTAGGTGGGGCATAGCACAAAAAAGGTTGGGAAACACTGATCTAGACACTGCACGGCTACAAACTTACCTCAACTCTAGTTGAAGCATTGAACGTCAATTCGTTACCGAATGCTTACTTCATTTGGTGGATTTACCTGGAACTAACTGGATGGCAGACTAACAAAGGGGAAAATATACAGGAATCAATTCTTGCATATATGATTTAGAACTGTACAAACTGGAATTAGAGCTGCACATTTCATGTAGCACTGTACATTAAAAAAACACAGATCTAAAAAAGTAGAGCTGATAGAGAAAACCTGATTTCATATTTGGATTCAGTGACCCAAATATAGTTAAAATCAGTTCTAAAATCCTAGGCACCAAAAAAAAATTTTTTTTTGTAGACTTGTGTAATTTATCATAAAAGATTATAAAACTTGATACTGTTGTAAATAAGCAAGTAAAGAAATTATGTTAATTCAAATGAATCAAAACTGTAACAAACTGAATAAAGAACACAACCATGAGATTCCAGCAGGATTAAATTTAATAGAAATAAGATTTTTGACCATATTGCAAAGACTGTACCTAAAAATAATCTTTAAAATATGGTCAAAAAACTTAGTTTTATTAAATTTAATCCTGCTGGAATCTAATGGCTGTTTTCTTTATTAAATTTTATTAATTTCAGGAAGCCAACATTTTATTAAAAAGAAATGTTTTCAGTCAAAATCTGATCATTCCCAGCTTAAATTAATTCTAAGAGTTTAAGTTATGTAATGTAGAATGTATAAATTAGAACAAATTCAAAATTAACATTCTGAACAATTAGTTTTGAATTTGAAACAAATGCGATAGAACATGAGTAAAATATGTAAAATAAATTAAATAAAATACAATTAAAAATAAATAAAATAAAACAAAGAAACTTCATATAAATTTAAGTAGGTAAATTTTGCTATTAATTTCTTGTAGAAAGAAGAGAAATTGATGGAATCTGTTAACCATATCTAAGTTTGCCAATTTCATGTGCATCCTGTATATTAAAGTAATAATGTTATGCTATTGTCCTAAAACATAGATATAAAATTGCTCTAAAATTTTTAAAACTACCCCATTCCTTAACTAAAAATAGTTTATTCTATAATACATTTGTGTCTGCATCTAAAACTCAAATAGACAAGAGTGGCATTGGCAATAACCCCTTTAGAAGTATTAAAATAATGTTTTATTATTTTGGAGATTGGAATTGTGGAATCAGTATAGTATAAATTTTCTTGCTTATTAATAAGTTTAATTTTGCAAATTCCAGTTTTTATCTATTTTAATTTTATCTGAGTGCAATCTGCATAACAGTGGAATTTCTCTTAATTATTATATATATTGATAAGTTCTTAATTAGAGGTTGTATGATGTTGGCTACATTTTTGCCACTAACTATTAATTGATTTTTTATTAGTTTTGTCTATATTATTGCTATTAGTATAGTGTCTGTTAGCATTACTAATTATTCTCTTAATAACATTTTTAGAGAAATTGCATTCATTATCTATTTTTGAAATCTTAATTAATTCCATACTAGCAGGAATCCATTGGAATCAATTGAAAAGTTCAATTGATTCCAATTCAGCTTATTGATTCAATTAAAATACAGTTGAGCTATTTTTTAAAATTTGGCATTCTACACAAAATCATCAGTAAAACAAGTGTTTTCCAGGCTGTTTGCAGGTGATAACTCATCTCCCTGTACTGTGAGGCTTCTTTCAATTTTGCATCCAGATCTCAGGGTAGCAATTTAGCATTCTTAAGGCTGACCAAATTCAACTGGTTGGCCTTCAGATTAATGGTGATGGTAATGGTAGCCCACATCATGGCAATCACCTTGTCCTAGGCTTTGCAAATAAAGCTGTTAAACCTATCAGCAATTGGATGTTCAAGTTTATTTATTTTTTTTTTTTTGTTGGTTGGTAGTTTTGTCAAGAACTCTATCAATTTTCAATAAGTAACAAATTGGATGGTAAGAATCACATTTTGGCCTCATTATGAAGTAATAGTAAAATAATGAGTAATTAAATTTATTGTGACATTGTCACAATGCCAGTCTGCAATTTTTTGTCATAATGCTCTCGATTTTAGCAGTGTCTTGCCCTGTATATCATACTTTCCTGTTAATTAATTAACAAGTCATGCTAGTCATCTATCTAACTCTGTTCTGGAGAAAATTTTCAAATTGAAATAATGTGATTTCTGGTCCAAACTAAAAGTTTATATATAGTTAAATCAGAGCCTCCTGCCCCTAAGTTTTCCATATCTGATTTCAACTTTCATTTATCTAATTCCATTCTTGAGGTTAAGGAATGAGAGACAGACTCCAGTGGGAATTTATACGTCTAATTTAGCCTTTGCTTTACATATTTTAAGGACTCTGACTTTTCAAATTTTAAGGATTTTCTGACTCAGTGCTGCCTCAATAGAGTTTTTCCAATTTATACATCTGCAATTTTTGAAAATTGATGCCCAAAAACAGAGATTGGTACTAAAAGTTGATAGATGGTGCTATGGTCAATATTGACAAAACTAATTTTTTGAAAAAATAATGTAAAATGTCTTTTAATTAATATATAATAAGCAAACAAAGCAGGAATTCACAGTAGTGATGAGCAACAGGTTGTTCAAATGGCTATGAGGATCTAAATTGATTTTGAAGGATATATTAAAAAGCATTTTCCTGTTCTTCAGGAAAAAACATCAAAACTGATCCGTATACCAATATCTGGTATAATAAAGGAAATGAGTTATAAAAAAGGCAAGTTTGTATCTGCAATGAGCAATAAATCTAGCAATGAAAATGAAAAACAAGTTATTGTGATTGAGTATCAAAAAGGGAAAGAGGTGGCATATGAGTGCCTGACATGTTTGTCACTTGCCTTTCCATAGACTTAGCATTTTATCTTTGCCATTCCATCACATCTGAACCATTTCACCTTTCTCAAATCTTTCTTCAGTGGCATCATTTACAGCATAAGAGCTTTAATTCAATATCTGAGCCATATTTTTGGTCCTAGCTCAAACTAAGTCAGAAAACTACTGAAATATCCTTTTAGTTTATATATAGATTTCTATCTCTACCTGATGATGAATGGGTGAAAAGATGTCTAACTAGACTGCAAAAGGCAGCTAATTTGTGTGGACACAGCGCTTGCTCAAGCATTTATGTCGCCCCGGACAAATTGCTGCCCCTTAAATTTATTTAGAGAGAAACATATGATATAAAATCAACAATCAAGTAGTACAAAACAGTAAAAATTAAAATATACCTGTACCTAGTTACAAATTGCTAACTAGATGCATTTTTAATGATATTACAAAAATGTATTATTGTACAATCAAACAAAAAACTTATATCCTATAAAAACTAAACAAAAGTACATCAACTATACTAAAATCAAAAGAAACTTTTTTCTCACTTTTAGTTCTGCAAACTTTTTTATTAACTCTTTTAAGTTTACTTAATTGGCAGTTTCATGTGCAATGGCCAAAATAGCCAAACTATTAAGATGATTTTGCGTGGTAGTGGAACGTAAAAAATTTAAATTAATTTTTATTTAGAGAAACTCTTTTCCCCCACTAGCTACAGTTATTGGTATGATCGGCAGAATTCTTAAGGTGACACTAAGGTTTGGGACAAAATTTAACATTGTTGCTTATGCTTTCCTTTTTGCCCAAAAGCCCTCTTTCATGGTTGTTTTCTTCAAAATTAAGAAATGCAAATATTTTCTTAGCTTTTAGGCAAAAATAATAATTACGAAATGTATATTGCATGATAATTTTAGCCACAGAAAAAAGTCAACAAATATAAATTTCGATTAATTAAGTATTTAACTTATAAATATTTAGTCACATTTACAACCAAAATGCCGTCGTTTAGATTTGCCACCCCGGACAAATGTCCGGATTCTCCGTCCCTAGAGTGGGCCCTGGTGGACATGTTATTGTATGACTTCCAGTGTATCTATGATGGTGTATAAATATACGTTTTTAATAAATCTTAGTTCTGTAAGTATTACCTAATTTGAAAATAGTAATATCCAAATAATTTATAAAACTTCTACTAATTGTTCTACATTTAATGTAATACTCACAGTATTACTGTTATTGTCATCTATAAAATCTTCAATGCAATGGT